ACACACACACACACACACACACACACACACACACACACACACACACAGACACACACACACAAAGCAGCTGACTCTTAAACAGGGCTATGATCTCATCCCCATCCGCATATTACACCCTATAAATGACACACACACGGAGTACAGCACCAATTTCCATCACCATCATCTGTCACACCTTAAATGAAAATAAGAATAAAATAAAACCTACAATTCACATATTTTTCTTTTAATTATTTGTTCAGTTAAGTGAAAAAATGTCGAAATACTGATGAACCTTTATTCTGCAAAGTTAAAGGTGTGACATGTCGTGGTTTTAGATGTCAATATAAGAACTAAATGGAGTAAACAAATAGCTTCTATCTCATGCTCGTGGAGTTATTTATACTTGTTTTTTTTACAGTTAATGTGGTATTTTGGAGGGATTTTTCATAATGTTTATCAATTCTCCAGTGGTAAAAAATAGTTTAAATTTAGCACCAAATCTGTGTCACAAATGGAATAATGAGACATAAGCGAGCATGCGAATGGCCGTCATATACATCCGTCATAACGTTTTAAGGCCGTACAATTTATTTTAATTGATTTATTAATTGTTATTTCTGATTTAAGACAAGAACAACTTGACACACACTGCATCTCAAAATAATCTTCAGGTTTCCAGCTTTCAGATGATGTGCACCACTATTATGTGGCATCTACTGTTGACCTGCTATCTCCCGCGAAACATCCCCTGCCCCCCCTTAAAACGGATCTATGTGGGTCTCTGAGGGTTGAGACTAAGATGCTCTCTGCATTGCAGCAGGATGTCATTTCTTCTGTCAACAGGTTTCTCAACCTGTTGGCTCGCTGAAGGAGATAAACATGTTGAAAGTCATTTCTTCCATCAGCCTTTCTCTATATCTAAAATTACATGGAAGTCTTGAAGCTTTGTTTTGCACAGTAGACAATGTCGGATGTCACACAATGTTACATGCACTATTAAATGCAGTTCAACAGCTGGGAGACACTGACAAATATTTATCGTCATGTGCTTAAAAGGTGGTTTTACTATTTTCTTAAATAAATGTGGAAATAACCTTTTGTCAGTGCTGAATTTAAGATGTATAGATATTTCTGTTGCAGCCTCAGTGTCTACAGGCCACCCTGTCAGGCCCTGGTTCATTACATTTGACTTGTGTAAAGTTAATTCACTCTTCGTAACATGTTTCATTTTATCCTGTAAAGTATTACAAGGTACAATATGAGCTGTATTAGGGATGAAAGTTTGCTCTCAATCTTCTGCTCACCGGATCATGACCTGGACCAGACTAACTAAGACTCGGAGTAATCTCTCTATTACGCCTGCTTAGTAAAACCTCATCCCAGGTACAGTAGCTCCATTGAAAGCTAATTTGAAATGACATTTTGATTCTTTTGGTGAGTGTGGTTGAGACTAGAGATAAAAAAGAGGTGTTACATATTAAAGAAAGGAAGAAAATCAGTTCCAAGCCAAAAAGTCAAATGGATAACAATACGCAAATGTAGACGCTGATGAAACCTTTACGAGCACAATAACAAGCAGGTGCATAGTGAGTACTGCTTCGTGATTTTTCATTGTTAAAGGAGAAAAGAAAAGGCCAGCTGAGGCTGCAGGTCTAAATGTTAGCCCGTGGGACTAGTTTATTTAGGAGCAGAGTAATGACCGAGATGCCACTCTTGACAAATGACCTTTTTAAACAGAGGGGTGGAATGGTATTTGGTGTCAGGGAGGCTTCAGCTTCACCTACACAGGACGGGAGCTCAACCTTTTTATCTCACAGCTCCAAACAATGACCTCCTGCTGCACCGTATAAAGGTATGAACTTTGACAAACCTTTTTGTTGTTGTTGTATTTTTGGCTTGATAAATTATTGAGGCAAGGCGACCATTGTTACAACATGACATAGCTCCTAATAAAAGCTGGGAGTCACCTGCTTTGTTCAAAAGGCACCTCATCATAGCTGCTTATTTAAGTTCATATTCACAATGCAGATTTTTCCAGAAGGGTCTAGCTGCAGAGCTCCAACTGTTATTTTCCCATGTGTAGCACTTTGAAACTTTGTTTTGAAAATTGGTGCACAAATTTTGTATTGATTATGTAGTAACGGCCAGAAAAAGCCTGGTATTCTACTAGTACTGCTTTAGTAACCTGACATCAGAGATCCTTCTTGTTACATAACACAAAAGCACTGGACTGCAATGAACAGCCGAAGCTAGCAGCAGTAATATTTTCAGACGTGTATTCCCTCTAATCGTGAAAAAATCCCAACTTTTTAATGTATCTCAAGTCTGATGGTTCCTGCCAGAAGAAAGTGACATTAATAAGATGATATTAATGTTTCGGGTGAAGAGTGCAGTGAATCCCAGACAAGGGAGACTAAAGCTGGTTTAAGCGATTAGCTGCGGGGTCATTAAGGCGCGGTTGTGTAATGCGAGTTCAGACAAGAGATGAACATAGGCTGCTTGCAAAACTGTCTGAGCTTTTTTTGTGTCTCAGTCTTTGGTTTTATGTCTTTTATATTAACCGTTCTTGTGGATATCCTTGTAGAGAAGGTAATGTCAGTAAATGACTCATATGAGATTATGAGAACACGGTACGACCGACCAATTTGTGTGTTTTCCACCGAGGATCAAACTGTTTTCTCTTTTTTCCGGTACAGATCTTTGTAAGCAAGACACACTATATCAGACCACTTGAGCGAGCGAGCGCACACACACACACATGCACACACACACACACACACACACCTTCCATTCTGTCTCAGAAATTTCACTTCTAACACAGTACTGTATGACCTGTTTTCCACCAATAGAATATATATATATATATATATATATGAGTGGGACTTCAAATGTATTATCATAAGAGAAAAACGATTTTTTAAAGATTTGGATTGACCTCTGTACAACACAATGGAGTCTTCTCTGTGTTCGCTGGTACCACAAGTCTAGGGCTGCAACCAACAATTATTTTTATCTTCTATTAATCTGTTGATTATTTTCTCAATTTATCGATTAGTTGTTTGATCTTTAAAATGCCAGAAAAGTGTTTTCCAAACGCAAGAAGACATCCAAATGTCTGGTTTTGTCCACAACTCAAAGATATTCAGTTTACTGTCATAGAAGAGTAAAGAAACCAAAGAATATTCACATATTAGAAGCTGGAATCAGAGAACTTTTACTTTTGTTTTCCTTAAAAAATGACTCAAACTGATAAATAAACTATCAAAATAGTTGGCAATTAATTTAATAGTGGGCACAGATCCCTGTGCTAATAAAGGTAATTACATTACGCCCTCCACCGCTTAATTTAAATATACAAAGATGACCCTGATCAGATTTAATAGCTTTTATAAATCGATATTGTTCACTCTATCTCGTGTTGATGCTGTATTATGGTCTGGCATTCCTTAAAAGTCCAAGTAGCAAAATAAAATGACCTCAGAAATGTGTCACTTTCCTACAGGAAACGTTCTCCCGATGCATGATGTCATACATTCATACACACGGCTGTATAGCGTGCTGTGGTGGTGCTGGACTCAATGCAGTCCTTTACACAGATGCATTTTGGCTGCCAGACGACTCAAGTATTCAAGTACACACACAGAAAGTGAAACAGGGAAACTTGTGAAGGGGACCATTGAATAGACTCGGCCATTATGCGCCCTTGTTTTGAACACCACAGCCAGAGGAACCGTCCACACACAGCTTTATATACAGGGGGCTTTTTCATGCTAAAACATGCAAATAAACTAGCAGGAATTCATGTAAATGATCTGACCATAGTGCAAAGACACAAATACAACTTGCACTCATCACCACATCTCACTGCATGATTGATAAATGCCAAAGAAAGTAGAAGTTTAAAGATGATATTGTTCAGCTCCTCAGCAGAGAGTACAGGTCAAAACTATCCTTCTCCCCTTTAAGCCAACAATAACAGCTCTGAGATCTGTGTTATTACGAGATTACAGCGGATCAGATCGGATAACGGGTTAACGAGAACAAAGGAGCAGAGCCGGGCCAATCAAATTCAATTTCCCACGCAACATCAGAAACCCTGAGCCAATCAGGGGGAGGCATGCTGCGGGAGACACGACATGAGAGAAAAAAACAACCAAAAACAATCCAGGGAGGAAAAATGATGAATGTGTGATAAACACAATGAAGTACTCATGGCAACCAAGGAGAAACTGACACATAAATGCCTTTAGACTTAGCTTTGACACTTGCTAGCTAGTTTTTTGATACTATTTCTGGATTTGATGCAACTTGTAAATGCTTGTTAAAACCAATGGTGTCGACATGTTTCAGGTTCAGTCCATGCACAAAGAGAGTTTCCGTTGTCCTCACCTGACCAGGTACAATACAGCATTCACAGTTACATGCTGTGAATGCTCTGAACATACTCTTTTTGAATCGTGTCATGTAAAAATGACAGTAACTTTTATACTTTCTCAGATTTTCATTATTTTTGCTGGCTGATTAACCAATATTTAAAGCTGCACTAAATAGAGTGCTGCAGAAATGAGTCCGAAAACACGGAAATGACTCTCGAAGTCAATGGGTTGTTGGTTTGAAGCCTGCTGA